TCTAGTTCCTCTGCCCCTTCGAAATCCAGCTTGTACTTCTGGGAGTTCTTGGTCCACATACTGCTGAAACCTACCTTGTAGATATTGAGCATAACCTTGCTAGTGTGTGAAATGAGTGCAATTGTATGGTAGTTGGACATTCTTTGGCACTGCCCTTCTTTTGGATTCATGGATTGCTGCCCCTTCATGGATTACTACCTTGTCAGGGTGAAGGAGCTTTAGTAATTCAGAGAAGCTATGGGCTATGCCGTGCAGGGACACCCAAGACAGACAGGTCATAGTGGAGAGTTTTGACTAAACGCGATTCATCTGAAGCAGGAACTGGCAAGCCACTCCAGTATGTTTGCCAAGAAAACTCCACGCACAGAAGCAGGACAAGTACCGCAGCACAATTTAATTTCAACTATTGTATGCAGTGGTGCAGTGATAAATTTCAAAATGTAGGTGATTATCGCAACTGTCCTTGCAGCTAACTGCCCCATAAGGAGAGACTTAAAATACCAGCACTTGTATCGGCCCATATCAAACAGATTGGAGTCAGATCTTTTATAAAGTTAATACCTCTGAATTGCTCCTTCAACAATCAAGACCAAACAATGCTCAACTACTCAAAAGCATAGCTTGCAACAATATACTTTCCCTGGGAAATTCAGTTTCTCTTCTAGTTACTGTGAAGATTGCAGCAAAACTCAAAGGAAACAGGAAAGTCTGTCTGGGATGTTTGTTGATATCATTGTCCCTTCCATTCAAAAAACAAAAAACAAAAACCCTGAGGCCTCAGCTGTGAAAGCTCTGATTTTACTATAATTACTGGTTGTATGGTTTTTAAAAAATAACTTGGCAGAAGATGTCAAATGGAGAAAAACTTCCAGGCACCACCTTGTTTTCATCTCATACTCCATCTGAAGAAAGTGCGATAGCAAAGGACCTTCCTCAGCATTTTCAGTTAACAATGCTGCAAAAGGGCCCTTGAGGCCCAGAGAGATGCTGCTAGTCAGAACAGAAGGTACTGGACTTAATGGACAAATGGCCTGAAAAAATAGACACCAGCAGAACTATCTTGTAATGAGCCAGATCATTCATACCTCTAACCCAGCACTGCCATCTGTGGCTGGCCTTGGTTCTCTGGTGTTTCAGCATTTCCTAGTCCTATGTGGAGACACTTGGTATTCCTTGGAGGTTCCATTCAAGTATGAACCTGGCCCAATCCCACTTAATTTCTGAAACCAGATGAGATCAGTCTGTTCAACATAGTACAGTGACCGCAACCTCATATGCTTAAATATCAATTTGTGAATCAGACTATGCTTCTCTGGTCTTTGTGGTTTGTGTATTTCAGAAAATCCATATTCCAATAAAACATGTTTTTTATAACAGTAAAGAGTTTGGTTTCTTCAAAGACGTAAGCCAATATACTTTGATTCTTTTGAAATAAAAAAAATGCTATGAGCAAAAAAGTTTGAGTGGACATCTGGCATTAAGGATCAATATTGTTCTTTTGTATTAGAATACATGAGGTCTTCTTACTGGTGTAACAGGACCAGAAACTGGCAGTGGGAGGGCTGTGGTGGAGGCTGACCAAAACTGGTGATTCAAAGGCAGAGCTAATAACAAACTGTACTTGTTAAGAAGAAAAGAAGTGCACCTACAAATAAAACATGATATTTTATACATAACATCTAACAGCCTACTTGTTGGTGAAAGGAAAAGGTAGCTGAACGAAACGGAATCAGAAATATTTGCCAATCAACTGCAACATATCCTGTAACTCACCAGCAAATCCCAATCTACTTCTGTGGACTCATGTTATTTACAATAGCAACCCAATCCACTCTCTAAACGCTGGGAGGAGTGAGGAAGCAGACAGGCACCCTTTTCACTGGCCAACAGTTAACTGAAAGTTCAAATTTTGCACTTTCCCTGCCTCCCACGTGGTTTTTTTTCAGTTCTTAACTCAAATCTAAGTATGTAAGTCAAGTCAATATTTTCCTATGTGAGTGGTTCTTAAGTCAAAATGTTCTTAACTCAAGCCGTTCTTAAGTCAAGACCCCACTGTACTTCTGTGGACTCATGTATCCAGAGAACTTCATAAAGGAGACTTGTGTGCAAACCAGTTACTTTTTGTTTCTTTTCCTAACAGTGCCAGGTACTTGGTATTTGCAGTTTCAGAAGCTAACGTATGTGCAAAATGCAATTCTGCATTAAAAATCAAAGCTATTATATTTTCACCTTAGATTAGGTTTCCAAGGAAAACTGAATGCCCTAAATCAGAAGGATGTTCATAAGTTAAAGTATGGCTGTTCCTCAATGCAGTCATTCCTTTTCAAAAATATTTCACTGTGAATGCTAACTACTATACTAACTGCTCTGGTGCAGATTACTCATTCTCAAAGCTAATTGAAATCTATTTTGTAGTCATCATTCCACAAAAATTTTAATAGCTGTCTTGAAAATTCATGCCAATTGTCTAGAACAGACTGAATTTTGCTTATTCTTCAATTTTTTGTTTCAGGCTTTATTCTTCTAGGTTCCCTCCCTTCCTCCCCTTCTTCTTCTTCTAAAGAAAATAGCTCTCTCAAATGTTCTTATGGCTTTAAATTACAAAACTACAACATCAAGTAAGACACCCACACATGCACATACCCACACCCACCCGCACCCACACAGAGACTTCAATACAAGTCTAATTGCCAATTTGCTAAGAAAAACTGTGAATGTTAATGAAGAGTAAAACTACTTCTCCATCACACATGAAGCCAAGTAGGGCTAAATGTATGGAGGGCCCATGGGGTTGAAAGCAGTTTCCACAGGCTATGTGCCCACTCAAAATGGAAACAAAGTAGAATTCCAGGCAATTAATCTGAAGGCTTGTGGCACAGCCTGCAAGTGCTTGCATGATCAGCAGCAATGTTTTAGTATAATTTTCTCTTAAACATGTACAGTTCTGACAGACCGCTAGGTAGGTGGGGATATGAAAGGCAGAACATAATGTGTATGCTTCCCACCTTTATACCACTCTTCGTTCTTAGGGATATGGCTTAAGCAGGTTAAACAGCAACATTAACCATAACTAGAAAGAGAAAGCATAAGGGGTGTACCAGAAATAATAACAGGACTCTGGAAACAATGGAGAAGAGAAAAATTATTGAAATGCAAGCTAGGTTAACTCCATTGTTCATTGTCTAGATCGGTCACAATGAGTAAAAATAAGTATGCAGTGATAATCTGCCAAATTTGATTTCCACTATGGTTTTTCCACCGAAGCAAATGCACATCTCAAATTTCCTGCTATTGGCATTTCCATGGGGTGGCTAAGTGGGTGGATGTCTTGATGGCTGAAGGGGCAGCTTTTGTGTGTATTTCTTGAATGTAAACAAAATACCTGTTTGTTCCTGCAAGAAGGAACAATCAGTTTGCAAGCTTTTTTTCTCCCCGAAATGAAAAGTCTGAAAGAAAATCAATGTTTGTATACATTTCTCTAAATGTGCATATTCTATAAACAATTGTGCTTAACAACATCCATTTTTGTTGCCAGTATTTCATTTAGAGCTGGCTGGACAACTCACAGAGTTAGGTATCTGACTGTGGAGGCAGAAGTTGGGAGCTCAGTTCCCCACTGTGCTTCCCAGAATAGCCAGCACGTGTGGCCTTAGGCAAACTCCATAGACTCTGGATGCTGGCACAAAAAATGAATGGTAAGCCACTTTGAGTGTTTTATACCTAGGAAACCTGAAAAAGATCGCCATAAGTCAAAATTGACTTGATGGTACACAGTTATTATTTCACCTAATATAATGCAGGTCTATGTGCAATAATGTGCAATATATTTTTTCTGTACTCTTTCCCCTAATGTAACATTCTTTTGTATTGTTACTATAAGATAAAGGAAGTGGAGCTGGAGGTTGGTAGTTCAATTCCACTCTGTGCCTTCTGAGAGCACAGCCAGCCCTGGACCAATAGTCAACAAGGAGAGGGTGGTTTGAGATCCATAGGTGGTCAAATTTAGGCTGGCCGGGTTAACGCTGTCTTTACGGCAGTGAGAATTTGGGGCCAGGGACTCACCCATTGGTTTGTTAGGGGGCCTGGAGAGGGACCTCCGGCTTAAACCTGCTTCTGCACTATAGCAGGACCCCCCCCTTTGCCAAATGATTGGCAATATTGTTTATTCAATAAAGTGTGGCCCATGTTTAATCCAATCTAATATAAAATGGGAGCCTTTATGATTTTTATCTGGGCACCAGATTTCCTAAGTACAATTTTCAGAATAGTGAAAGAGCAATAAATTAATCTGCATTGAGGAATACACATAAATACTGGGCTGCTTTTGATTCCAATTCTGTATTAGAATAAAATTATTTTTTCTCACCCTAAAAAGGTCCCTTTAATCCTCAGAATCACGCATTACATATATTTCTTGGCCTCTTGAACATATGTTTACAAAGAATATGAATAATAATTTACAATAAATTTCTCCCGCATATGGAATAAACTATGGTAGTTATGTAAGCCTTGTGGCTGTATTATAAGCAACAATGATGAATGAATCTACAAGTTCTGGTTTCTCCTCGTGTTTTTTTTTCCCAGTCCCTAGTTTGTTCCATCACATTTCTGCATCATTTTGCAGCTTTGAGAAAAACAGTCGACACAAACATGATGGTGTTTGTTCTTATAGAAACATTTGTGCATGCATTTTGCCTATTATGAGTTTTGGCAAGCAGATTTCCTATACATCATGTTCCTTTAAACCATATTTTTACTAACATAGGCATCTTTTTCAGAATTTCCCCACAATATATACATTCCTCTCCACACTTCCTTGTTCAAATAATCAAATTTCAGAATTCTGAGAAGCACCCATACAAAAGGATATCAGCATTCCAGTTCACGTAGTGAAACAGAAAGTGCTCAGTTTTCAAGTCTGCAACGGGAACCCCATCCTTAATTAATCACTTGTGTTTGTTTTCAAAGGCCGTGGTAAGAATGCCATGGTTGTTACCTACCTGTGACTTTGAGTCTGTCAGCTCCAATGACAATCTCCTCTTCATCAGCAGAGAAGAGTACCCGTCCATCTTCACTGGAACTTACTTCAAACCTTTTACATTGGGCTTCTACTGCATCAGCACCTACAACAGAGAAAATGAAGTCTTGAACCAAGCTTCAAAAATCCCTTGGGATTAGATCTGCATGGAAATCCCTTGGGATTAGATCGGCATGCTCTCATGGCAACTTCTTCAGTGTTCAGTTTCATTTCCTTCATTGCCTGGAAAGAAAGTTGGACATGGCTTTTTGACCTTAAAGAGAGAACTTTGGTGAGGTTCAAAAAAGGCTGTGCCGTAAAGAGGGAATTCTAAATCCCCAATGGAATCCACTATGAACCTGTAAGAATCTTGCACTATCATGATGACTTTTTAAAGGACTGTCATTGAAGCGCCTTGAGCAACTGTGGTCTTACATGTAATGTCCCTTATCAGGAGGTGGTTGGTGTGAGAGTGAGTGTGTGAGACATACTGTTTAGGAAATTTAATTGCCTTTGAAAAAAGAGCAAATATTCTACATTAATATGGGGTGGTGGTGAGTTTTGTATTTTCTTCTACTGTCATGTTTCTAAGTTATGTCTTAAATATTTCATGTGTTTATTCATTCAATGCTCTAATTGTATTTGACCTAGTTCATGGTTAGCCTATAATAAGAATAAGAATAAGAATATAAGAATAAGACTAAGACTAAGACTAAGACTAAGACTAAGACTAAGACTAAGACTAAGACTAAGACTAAGAATAAGAATGAATGAATGAATGAATGAATGAATGAATGAATGAATGAAATGACGAGTTTGGCAGAACATATGTTTATGAGGTCACAGTTATTTGATTCAATATAATGCAACATGAGTGACATTTTGCAAAAGCTTGGGGCTCTCCACTACTTCACACAGGAAATATTTAAAGTGTAAAAGGGTAATATAAAAATAAAATAAACATAATGTCTATTTGTATCCTAGACACACTAACCACAGAGCAAAGACTGGCTACAATTCCCTGTCAAGTCTCCATTTTCTTAAAAATCCAAGTTTTGTGGTTATATATTGGATGAAATCTCTTTAATGTGGACATTCTTATTTGAACACAGTTTATAGTAGAACCCCCTTTTCTTTTTATTGTTTTTGTTGTTTAGTCATTAAGTCATGTTTGACTCTTTGTGACCCCATGGACCAGAGCACGCCAGGCCCTCCTGTCTTCCACCGCCTCCCAGAGTATTCTTTTTGTACAGAGCACTAATTTCACATTGGAAACTTTCTCAGAACACAGACATTGAGAATAAATCACTTCAGATATCTTTCTTGGTAATGTGCCTTGTGACCCAAACTCAGTTTTTCATTCCTACAAAGTAATACATCAATATCCTATATAAATATTAAGCCAATTTATCTATCAGTATATTTTGGATAGAATCCAGCAGTTCTTTAATTGCTCCTACTTAGAACTAAATCACAAAAGCTCCATATAAATACATGGCATTATATGAAATGTTGTATTTCTCAGAATTTGTAAAATATTCACACCTTAGTGAATTTATTATATGTTAACGTGCAATTTAACAAGAACAGGTGAGAAACATTCAATTGTTTGTCACAAATTTATTATGAACAAGACCCACAATGCTTTCAAACTGAGAATCCAACTCATAATAAGTTATCTCCAGTTCGTCTCAGTGCCCACTCCCTTTTTCTCTACATTTTGTCTCTTTCCCCCTTTCCACAACCTTTAACCATGTAGCGGAGCAGGAGTGGGTTTTTTATGATAATGAATTTGACAATAAACGTAAAAGTAAAGGTTCCCCTTGACAAATGTCCAGTCGTGTCTGACTCTAGGGGGCGGTGCTCATCCCCGTTTCCAAGCCGTAGAGCCAGCGTTTGTCCGTAGACAGTATCCATAGTCTTAAATCCTGGGAATGTTTTCCCAGCGTTTGTCCATAGACAGTTTCCGTAGAGTCTTAAATCCTGGGAATGTTTTTATGCATCCTCCACCACTGCTAAGAAAACCTAGGAAAGGCAGTCTCCAGTGTGTCTTGGCTAATTTCTTTGAACTTTGAGCTTTTGCAAATTCCGTATTTCAGGCTCCCCAGCCTCAGCAAAAGTTGTTGGCCAATCAAGCAGCAGAGTGAAAGCATTCATGTCTCTACCAATTTTGGAAGCTCTTCATGCCATCTCTCTTTACAGACTGAGCCCCTATCTGCCAATAAACCACACCATAGTTAACAGATAACAAGTTTGATGAAGGATAGATAGCTGATAGTTATTTAAAAGGCCACAGTTTTGACTGGCTGCAGCAGAATAATTTTGGTATAGCATAAGAAGCAGATGCATGCCAATGTCCATCTTTCCAGACCAATGCTAAGGAACCAAGGATAGACAATCAGAATTTGGTATACTCTTCCAGGTGCAAGATCACTGAGGGGGACATTGGCACCTGTTGTGGGGGACTGTAGTGGTCTGCTCAAGCTGTACCTAATAGTCAGTTTCCCACCCATTGATTGGGGGGGGCTTCCCTTTTCCTTGGGATAAGGCCAAACACCTCTCTTCCTCACCAAGAATCAACTCTTAAGTGCTAAACCAGTCTCTGTTGTAACGAAGGAAGCAAAAAGAGATAAAAACCACTCTGTAAAAATACCACAACATCACATGAACACAAAATCCCTCTCATCCCACTCCCCCAATATATCACAAAAATTACAACTGACTTCAGTATGGTATAGACTTGTTTAAGGGGTGGGTGGGTGGAGTCTGTGCAAAGACTGGCTGGTGAGGGGCCAGGGAGTAGTTTATATCCCTCCCAGGTGGACTGGAATGAAAACTCTTGCCTTCTGGTCTGGCCGACTGGGACCCACACCCCAGTCATTTGGCCATCTCCTGACTGACCAGCTATCCAGCATTCCATGCTAAGACATCACAGGTGCAAAGATGCTTGGGAAGAGGACAAAAAAGCAGCGGGCATCATTTCCACAGTTTGGTACATGCTGTACAGCAAACAGGGCTCCAGATAGGTTGAAACTAGGAGACCCTCACTTTTTGCCATACCCTCTTGAGAAGGTTGCATTTGGGGAAATGAGAGACTAATGGAGACTCTGAAGAAGATTGCTAAGTACCTCCTATGGCTGCATGAAAAAAATGAACCTGGTGAGTTCTCCTGGGATCTCTTAATGAACATTTCCCCACTGTTTCTCTGATAAAGCTGGGGGAAACTGAGCTAATAATGAAATGAGGAGGGGCAGTGCACGCATGACTAGTTCTGTGCTGGTCCCTTTGAGCAGATTGCTTCAGAACCCCTTGCTCCTCCTCGTTACTGAAACTGCGATCACTGAAGAATAGGGGCAGCCTACGGACAGTTCATCTCACCCCAAAATTTTAGGGACAATGTCTCTTTGCTTCATGAGCTGCCTATGCTGAAAGAACACAATCACTATCATTTCCCCACATTAAAATCTCTTAGACTATCTATTAATATGTTTCTTTCAGTGTTGTGCAAATTGGAACAACTTTTGTTCATTTTCCTGAAATCTAGCTTCAGAATATTAAACATAATACTTACCATGTTTTTTTAAACTTAGAAGCTCATTCCAGTTAAACATTCATTTTCTCGAGCAAGAGACAGACTGACAGTTTCTCACCTCTCAGTATAACCATTAATCCTTATAGTAATTGTTTTGCAAATGTTTTACAGTGTTACCAAGCTTCCTTCTGAATTGATTTCCTAGATCTCTCTTCATTTAGATTTGGTGATAGCAAAACATAGCTGAAAGCAAAGTAATAGATTAGGGGATTTAGAATAATTTCCTTTATAAACCAATATAATATGCTGCTCTTTGTGTTAAGTCCATAACCTTCTTGATTCTAAAGTGGAAATCCATGACTGATTATAGGCTATTATCTGCATATAGAATCAGTTTATCAGGTTATGTTCTACAGATCCCACTGAAATTCTTTCATTCATATTATTCATTCTTATTGATATTTCCAAGGGCTAATGAGAGGAAGGAATGCAATACAGTTCCACATGATAGACTGAAATTAAAATTGTGGGTTTCCTGGTGCCATTTAATAGTGTTCCGATAAAAATAAATTAAATTGTTCATATTCATTTGATGCCAGATGTGCTCCATCACAACTTTGGTAAAATTTCTCATCTCTTGACAAGAACATATTGGGGTAAAGAACTTCAAACTAAGGCTTCTGACGTGGGATCCAAGCACTTTACTCTCTAGATTATTGGTTCCCAACCTTGGATAACCCAGGTGTTCTTGGACTGCAAATCCCAGAAACCCTGGACAGCATAGCTGGTGGTGAAGGCTTTGGAGAACTGCAATCCAAGAACACCTGGGTTACCCAAGGTTGGGAGCCACTGCTCTAGATTATTATGTCACCTTGTCAGAAGAGAGAGTTTGTGGGCCTGACAGGATACTGGCTCTATCAGTCATACAGACATGTAAAGGGACAATATATTCCACTCTGTTCTATGCCTGGTGAAGTTTTATTATGGGTGTTATTGACTTGAGGACTCCTTCCTGTCCAGTTGTATGGGATAAATACCAATTTCTAGTTCAGACAACATGCTTGAACAAATTCTGTCAATTACATGCATGATTGCCCCTTGGGTTTTTGTACTCAATAAAGAGGAAATGGCCTGCTGGGTTAACAGGTTACAAATTCCTTATTGACAGAAGTAACTCTACCATTCACATTTAGTAGGAAAGAAGTAGGAAGTAGACCACTCCTGAAGAAAATAAGTCAAGGCTGAATTCATATAGTATGTAGATTTCAACTGGGTTTTATTTCTATGACATTCAATCACACTTGCATGGTTCAAAAGGTAGAACTTACTATGGAGCCATAAGATGGATTGATTGATTGATTGATTGATTGATTGATTGATTGATTGATTGATTGATTGATTGATTGATTGATTGATTGATTCATTCATTCATTCATTCATTCATTCATTTTCACACTGCCTTTTTCCTTAAAAGAACTCAAGGTAGCTTACAACAATTAAAAGACACTAACTCAGTCGCACCACCCTTACACAACCATGGCCTGACACTGAGATAACTTGGAAGGCAGTGGGCC